GCTTTTTCTATTTCAGCTGCTGTTTTCAGCTGTTTTTATGCTAATTTAAGCTTTTTCAGCTAATTCCACTTTTTTTTTTACACTCATTTCAACTTTTTCAGCCTAATTCAGCAACAATGTGCTCTCTCCACTTCCTTCTTGTAATTTCAGCTTATTTCTGCCTTTTTAGCTACTTTTCAACTGTCGTTTGCTAATTTCATCTTTTTTCAGAGAATTTGCACTTTTTTGTGCTCATTTCTGCTTCTTTCAGCCTAAATGGGCAAACATGTTCTTTCTGCTTATTTAAGCTTGTTCTACTTTTTCCAGCTACCTTTTTTTAGATTTTTTTTTTTTTTTTTTGGCTAATTTCAGCTGTTTTCAGATAAATTCAAGTTTTTCGTGGTAATTTTTGGTACTTTCAGCCTAATTAACTTTTTTCTGCTAATTTCAGCTTGTCATACTCCTTTCAGGTAGTTTCAGCTTTTTTTTTTCTGCTTTTTTAGCTAGTATTTAACTGTTTTATGCAAATATTATTTATATATTTATTTATTTATTTATGCATACTGTATGTATGTATGTATATACTGTATACATACGTACCGTAAGATAATTAATTTGGAAATAGAAAATGCTTTATTTCAATTTAAACTGTTTAATTTTGTTTTTTAATAGAAACTTCAGGGAAGAGTTCTTTAAAGACCGTGATGCAGAGACATCAGGTGAGGAAATATATATATTTTTCGTTTTTAGTTTTCACTTGACTAAAAAGTTTATGGTTGTGTTTTGTAATATTTCTCTGTTCCAGTTTGATGCCGAAGACGACTCCAGAGACAAAACGCTGAGGTTTACCGCTGCTGACGTCTTGATGGACGTTACACGAAGCCACACCGTCAACATTGTCAGCGATTTGCCGCTGCGCTCGTTCCCAATCGAGGAGTTCCCCGCAAGCGCAACAAAAACAGTGATGTTCACAGACGATGATGCTGACATGGACGTGACAAAAAGCCTCACAGTCAAGATTTCTGCTGACTTAAACACGGTGTCCGACCAATCTGTAAACCTGCCACCTGCTACTGAGGAGAAGACGTCGAGATTCACGATAAACGATGCAGCTATGGACGTGACCAGAAGTCACACCGTGAACATCTCCACTGATTTAAACCAGCCGTCGCTCCAGAATGTGAGTCGGGTCCCGGCTTATGGGGAGAAAACCGTGAGGTTCACGACAAACGACGCTGATATGGACGTGACCAGAAGTCACACCGTGAACATTTCTGCTGGCCTGAACATGGTGCCGGACCCAAATGTGAGCCAGCTTCTG